CATGTCCATCCCTTTATGACCACAAAACCGTTACTAGCGTGGTGTACCTAATAAAGTGGCCGGTGAGTGTATGTTTAGAGCATTTTAGGTACTGTTTTATGTAAAAAAGGGGCAATGCATTTTCAAAAACTTAAAAAAAAGTAACTTAAAAAAAGGGATATTTCAGGCTTGAACTGCTCCGGTGGTGAGACAGTTTAGCGTTGCTGCGCTTACAGAGAACTTACTTCCTCTCAGCCCACCATCAGGAAAAGTTTTAAAATCAAAAATGCCCTGAAGAATCTGACGGCTTCAGGCAGGTTTTCTGCCCCGGCTGCAGCTGGGGTTCACGTGAGCGGCTGCACGCTCACCATCAAGGTATCTCATTGGATGAGATGCATGATGATGAAGGCTATCTAAAGCCAATAGTGATCAAGATCCCGCCTCCTCGCAGCGACCACTGAGTCTGTGTGTGTGCGTCTTCACAGGCAGCGCAGAGATCAGACGGAGAGATATAAAAAACTGTGTTAATGCGCGTTAAAAAAATTATTGCGTTAACGCTTTAATTTGCCCAGCACTTTATTAATATAAATAAATATTAAATTGAAAAAATAATAATATTGTTTTATTACTTGTTTTATTTCTTTCACTGAGTTGCTCTTAGTGTTTACAGAACAACTTTTTAAAATCTTTAAAGTTTCTGCTGGGTCTTAAAGTCTTAATTATCTCAACTTTAGATTTAGTCTCAAATATATCCACATTTTCCATTTTAATCCCTGAAATATACTGTATTTAGTTACATCTTAAATTAGTATGTTCGTTCATTTATTCTTTTTTCCATCAGTAGTTTTTGTCTTTGTGCTGTTGGTATTCATTCAGTGTGTAGTTCTATCTTGAGGTTTCTACATGGTCACCAGACTTTCAAACTTCTCCTGAAACTGCCTTTATAGTTTTTTTTCAAACAATTTAGGTTGAATTTGAATAAAGGAAAAAGAAAATGTAACCAGTCTATGTAAGGAACAAATTTGAAATTTATGTAGGTCCTATATTTGAATCCTAATGTTCTTTAAAAGTTGTAAATTTAACTGAAACCCTAGAGGAGGAGTGTGCACGGGGGGTGTTTTTTGTTAAATTATAATTGCTGGCTGTGGTCACATGATATCTGGCAGCTTTATTGTCTATTGTCTGACGTTGACCCAGTTCATCAGCAGTGATGGTTCCAGGCTCACCATCAGTCCTGTTCACATAGACCAAAGGCTTGAACAAATATAGACCAAACTGTTTAACCTATTTACATATAATCATCTGTTTTTAATGTTTTCTCCAGCCATGTAATTAAAAAGGGGGAATGCCTAAGCTTCACGATGAATAAAATCAGCCTATCTTCATTTCAAAAGTTTACTCAAGTAGATCAAATTAAGCCGTGACTTCTAAAATTTCACTTTTCAAATCATGACTGCTGGGCTTTTGGTTGCAAACACCCAAAAATCACTGAGACTGAGTCGCTCACACGTCACCAACAGTCACAGCTCAGTGACTGGTGGCCTGGGTGGCTTCACAAAAACTGCTCCTCTGAAAATGAGTGAAAAGCAACCAAAGCTGTATTACGTCTGCAGTGATTATAGCTGCACATGGCTCCATGTTTACCAGCTTCAAATAAATTCAGTAGTTGTCATCTTCAGTAGTTGTCATCCTTCTGCGTTTGGAAATACCTCCATCAAGCAAAAGATTACATCATTTTGAAATGTAGTTGTGACATAGTTTCTGTTTATTCACTTAACCAAACTGTTGTTCTTTGCTGCTGTTATCGTTAAGTAAACTGAATGTGAAGAATCTTCCCACATCACAGCTTTTGTACCACGTGCTCATTTCATTTCATGGCAGCTTATTATTATGTATGACATTTTTACAATGCTACATTTTAATTTATCTGTCATGGAGCATTCATAAAACACGCTGCTGTAAGGTCTTTGCTGTCTAGTTTTTAAT